TCTGTTTGATTCTGACTAGCTTCTCCTTTTTATACAAGTTCCTTAGGCTATGACCAAACCTTTCATAGGACAGGCAGGCCAGCCTAGCTGAAGCTGCAAGGTGTTCTGAGAGAGACAGGTGACACATATGCCAAGCAAGTCAAACCACCACCACCACCACCTTGATTACCATCTTTCCTGGGACTCCAGTGGAAACTGCCTAGGACTCTGAGCCTTTGGAATAACCTAGTGATGCTTCTAGCCCACTGCCTGCTACTGTCATCCTGAGAAGCAACCTCGGTGGAGATAACAGCCTAACAACTTCTCGAAGGTGCTACAGTCCCATTTTTTGAAGACCCAGAAAAGAGCTTTGCCATTTACAAAAGTTTCAGTATCAGAAACCAATACATCTTTGTCAGTGGCAGTGACATCCTGAATTAAAGTAAGAAGACAGCCAATACAGCAACAGTTATGATCTTTAATTGGGGCAAGGGAGTTGCAACTGAGGTACAACTGAGCAGCAAGTGCTGGGGAGCCAGAGGAAGGGGTTGGGCGCTGGGTTTTTATAAAGTATTAGGGCAGAGGGAGAGGGATACATTCCTCCAAAGGGTCTGGCTGCAGGTGTGGGGGTGGGGGGAGAGACATCCCACCCTTTGATGTGGTGGATTGTTTTGCATAACAAGTAAAAGTCCTTAAAGAAAGCTTGTGAGGGGGAGAGTTTAAGTGTTTACAAAAAAATCTGGCTAGGGCTGGTCAGCCTCAGGCAATTCATGGGTCTGGGAATGGGGACAAGGTCAGTTTTTGGTCTGCTTGTTTTCAGTTTGTGTTGACTACCCTCAGGACCTTTGGACCTTTCCATCTGACTTGCAGCTGAAATCTTCTGTATGTGATGTCTTCCCCAACAGAAAGTGAGCTCTTTGAGAGCAGGGAGAATCTTACTTTTTTGTTTGTATCCTTAGTGCTCAGCACTCTTCTTTGTACATAGCGCAAAAAGGAAAAGCCCTGGACTTTCCCTAAGGCTATAATCCTATCAACTAGCCATTCATTATGCCCAGTCTCTCAATTCTTTGTTACCCTTAACCTAGCCTAGCCCTCTATTGTTTTACCTCCCTATGGCCTCCTGTCACTTTCCACCCTTAATCCTATTTAGGCTTCGTTCTCCCTTGGCCACATGGTCCAGGTCACTGGCATTCTGTTACCTCACAGTCACCCCAGCTCACTGGCCACTCCCATCCAGATCCTCCTTAGACCTCTCCTCCAGTCACCCCGAACTACTTGGCTGCTCCTAGATCCCTCCCACAGTCTTTCTGTGTATAAGATCCATCTGGCCTCCATTAAGATGCTCAGATTCTTACGATCTGGCCCACTAGCATTAGCAATATGAATGCTTAGATTGCTTAAGAGTCCGGCCAGTGTGGCCGATTGTTTAAATCTCACCCATCCTCATTCAGTGTTCTAATGAACTTTATGTTTGGCTGAAAGAAGGCTTGGGTCAAATTCATTCAGGCAGGACCTATGTGTTGTGATTTTGGGGTCCCAAAACCCCTAAGCCTCTAAACCTCAGCAGTATTACTACATGGTAGATTATGTGGAAAGGAATAAAATAGAAGATATCTGTGAAGGTGGGGAGGAGTAAAGTTATGAAGGACTTTAAATGCCAAATGAATTTGCAGCTCTAGACAAAAACAAACCAACCTTCCCTGTTTGGCTAGATTGCTTTCCCAGTGTCCAGACTATCTTGGCTGTTTTCTTTTAGATTATAATCTTGAGTTTTTATTGTTTTTTGTTGGAGGAATCTAGAAAAGTACTCTTAAGACCTTAGTTAACTTGTAAATTCATTGGCCTTTGTCATTGTTTTCTTATGCAGATACATTTTGTCATTCCTGAAGTAATACCTTAGCTATTGGGATCCTGAATTGAAATTGCTTTTAATATCCTTTTGCATTTCTTTTTCTCTTTGAATGGAACTGCTTCCATTTGGATGAGTCTTCTGCAAAGAGAATAATGTAATTCTTTTCTACAGTATCTTAGAGAAGATAAAGAAAAGTTAGGCACTGTCACGTTTTTTTCCTTTTTTTTTTTTTTGGTGAGGCAATTGGGGTTAAGTGATTTGCCCAGAGTCACACTGCTAATGAGTGTTATGTGTCTGAGGCCAGATTTAAACTCAGGTCCTCCTGACCTCAGGGCTGGTGCTCTATCCACTGTGCCACCTAGCTGCCCCTACATTTTTTCCTTTACATTTAGTCCAAGATGGTGTTGAGTTTTAGATGTTAGGGGTGCTGGGACCCCAAAATCATGACATGCGGGTCCTGCCCGAGAGAATTTGACCCAAGCCTTCTTTCAGCCAAAGACAAGGTGTAACAAAGATGAGCCATATAGGTCAGACTCTTAAAGAAGAGTCTGAACGTTTGTGACACTTGGACATGTGGGCATGAGGAAGTCTCAACCCCTGAATGACTGATTTTATATACAGAAAGACTATGGGAGGGATCTAGTAGTGGCCAAGTAGTTTGGGAGGAGGGGCTGAGAGAAGGTATGTCTTGATGGGTGCCTGGAGGGTCCAGGGAGGATCTAGTTGGGAGTGACTGGCAGGTTGAATGAGATCTAGATAGGATCAAATGATGAGGTTTAGGGATTGAGGTGTGCTGGGACCCCAAAATCACGTGTGGGTCCTGCCCAAAAGAATTCGACCCAAGCCTTCTTTCAGCCAAAGACAAAGTTTATTAGAGAACCGTCATATTGGGCAGACTCTTAAGGAGTCTGAACGTTAGTGAGCTATGGGTTAGGTTCTAAGAATCTGAGCACCTTAATGGAGACAAGATGGACCATATATACAGAAAGACTGTGGGAGAGATCCAGGAGTGGCCAAGTATCAGGGACTGTGAGGTAATAGAATGCCAGGGACCTGTATGATGTGGCCAAGGGAGAATGGAGCCTAGCTAGGATTAAGAGTGGGAAGTGGCCAGGGGCAATCAAACACTAGCTGTATGACTGTGGGCAAGTCACTTAATCCCAATTGCCTCCCCCCTCAAAAAACACAAAACCCCAAACCCAGCATCTACTGGCTTTTACAAAAACAACAGCTTTAGAAAAGTTGGATCACTCATAATAAGGAAAATGAAAACAAAATGTCCTTGTGCATGTAAGTACTGGGGACTGTTGTGGATGCTTTTGGTTTTGAGGACCATGCCTTGAGGACGGGGGAGTAGCAGTGTAACCACTGCTTGGGTGATTGATATTCAGAGTGATAGGCTACCTGGGGGCAATGGAGCCTTGCCTGTTTGACAAAGGGCCTGATGAAGAATGTGCTGAATATTACTTAGACTGGGGCCTTGAGGGAACAGAATGGGAGTGAAAAGAAGAATTCAGAACCCAGGCCAGTTTCAATGTTGATTTCTTCTAGTGGGAGTTGGAGGTTGGGTAGGTTTTCAAATATTTTAAAGAAACCACAGGTAGGTTGTTATTGGACTTGGAATCAGGAAGACTTGAGTTTAAATTTGGCCTCAGACGCTAGCTGAGGGACCCTAGATAAGTCACTTAATCTCTATTTGTCTCAGTTTCACTTTCTGCAAAAGTGGGAATGATAAAATGGCACCTCCCTCCCAGAGCTGTTGTGAGGATCAAATGAAATAATATTTGTAAAGCGCTTAGCACACAGTACATGGCACACAGTAGGCACATAATAAGTATTTTCCATTAGATTGTGAGTTTCTTGAGGGCAGGGCAATCTTTTGCCTTTTTTTAAATATCCCCAGTGATTAATGTTGTGCTGGACACATGACAGGTGCATAATAAATATTAAATAGTGGCTGATTATGGATGAAACAACACTCTAATACGTCATTAGAATGATAGTTGATGAGAATATAATCTGATGAGGCTTCCCAGCTTCTGGGTTCAAGAAGCTTAGGGAGCTCACAGAAAATTTGCTTTTCCAAAGCCAATTTACTCAGTTAGAGGCCTTGGATGGAGACAATCCTTTTTCCCTTTTTAGGTGGTTAAGATGGATAGTTCTGCATACCCTACCCCATAAAGATGGAGTCCCTCAGTAGCTGGTTCCCCAGTGGTTGTTAGCAAGGGAGGTGGTGAAATTTCTAAAAGAGATTGTTTTGGTAAACTGAATTTTTGCTGCCTCCTTATCTCACTTCTACCCCCTATGAGCCACCTGTGTTAGGAGCAATTAGAGCTTCCCTTTATATGGGACCCCTTTTGAATGGCTTCAGATTTTAGGTATGGTCTTCCTGACCATATGACCCTATATATAGGCTTCAGCAAACCATCATGTGAAATTTGAATGGGATTTTGGGACATTCCTAGTGACTGATTAGGCAGATGTGTTTGCTCACACAAATCAGTGCTCTAGGATGATGGGAGCAGAGCCTGGGCTTGCATTCATGAGAGTTAACCACAGGGTGATGATATTCCTTCCATGGGGTCAAGAAGATGATTATCAGCCTGTGGTGGTGGTAGCAAAATTGTATTGCTTTATCTGAGATCAGGGAAATAAAGGATCTTTTGCAAGGCTAAGACTGTTCTAACTGCAGGACTATGAGGGGATCAGAATCAGTGATTTAGAAGGTGAGGAGGTCAAATATGTTAATTAAGGAGCTCCTTCTTCCTGGCAGCCAGGATATTCTTATGCTGGGGTCCCTCACCGGTTTTAAAAGGCAGCCCAGTTTTCAGTGGAGGTATCTGAAGAGAAAGAACACTGCTAAGGAAAAGAGCATCCTTGCTCATGTGGAGTTTCTACTAGACTGGGTGTTGGGGATATAAAAATTAAAAAAGAGTTCCTGCCTTTAAGTAGCTACCATTCTATTGTAAGTGCAGTTTCTCTTTTAAATCTCATACAAGGCCACACTTGGGTCTCCCTAACTATTTTAGAAATCTGTATATTTTCTCGGGACAGTCCTATTGGAAATTGTTAGCCTTTTTTCTTTGTTGTAGAGAAATTTGCTCTTATCTATACACTATAGACAGTTCTTTTCAGATTTAAAATTTTACTTTCCGGTCTTTTTTTGAAGGTTTTGGTGCCCCTGATTCTACTACAGCAAATGCTGATGGAATTGACAAGACGAGGAGAGGATCATCTTAGTACATTGATACAGTTTGGTGTGTGGTATCTGGAGGACTGTGCTGCAAATTATGTAATTCAGCAAGGTGGATGGGTAAGAGTGGGGACTGCTGGTGGTTGTTCTCCTCATGAGTACCTTGAGTGTAATTTCTCCTATCTTGATTCTTCCTTCTCTTCTCATCCTTTTTGTCTGTCACATAGCAATGGAATTTGAAAATTTCTCTAGGTTGTTTTGAACATAAAAATTGATTATACCACCTTGCTATTGGGAGACTAGATGGCCAGAATGTTCCTTCTTGTTTGGTCTGACTAGGTTGTAAGCTAAAGAACAACTAAGCAAAATCACTGAAGAATTGGTTGATTATAGATGGTATAAGGGGTATTCAAGGAGAATAGGGAATGGAATAGGAATCTTTTCTTGAAGCATCACTCATTCTACCTTTATCATTTCTGTTTAGCTCTCCTCTTAAAGAAATATGGCCAATTAAGTACATCCAAAGGATGTTGTTTCCTTCATGTTATATTCCCAGTAGGTTAGAATTTGGCCCTGGGGTCTTGATATTAATGGCTTAGATTCTTAGGGGTTATACACCATATTAAAAGATTATAGGGGTAGGATATGTGTTAAAATTAGTCTCAACTGGGAGATAGTTGGTGATCTTAGATAAATATGTTTTCATATACCTTTGGAAAAAGTCTACTCTTGTTTACTGTTCCTTGTAGGAAACCAGATTTCTGTCACTGCCTAGGCTGTCAGATTGTGAAAAAACAGACTTCTCATATATTAATACTGAATGATTAAGAGAAATACCACAAAATTTCTTTAATTTGAAGTTTAAGATAAGTAGGACAAAGGATGGATTGAAATTGACCTTTACACTATCTATGAAAAAAGGAGGGCAGCTAGGTGGCACAGTGGATAGAGCACCGGCCCTGGATTCAGGAGGACCTGAGTTCAAATACAGCCTCAAATCCATAACACTTACTAGCTATGTGACCCTGGGCAAATCACTTAACCCCATTGCCTTGGCCCCCCCCCAAAAAAAGAGTTACTATTTCCCGTGGTGTGCCAAAGGCAAGGTTCATGGGTCCAAGAAGCACCTGAAGCAAATGGCTACCCCACAAACACTGGATGCTTCACAAGCTAACTGAGGGGTTTGCTCTCAGGCCATCCACAGGCTCTCATAACTGAGGAAGTACCTCCCACTCATCATCTTCTTCCACTTCTGATTCAGGTACAACCTGACAGAGGGGGATAAGGTTAAGATACGCATACATTGGTTCATCAAGATTGATGACAGGGTCCACATGCACATGACTTGCTCTTGCTTGCTTCATGGATGTCATCACCATTGAGAAGACTGGTTAGCATTTTTGTCTAGTGTATGACATCAAGGACTATCTTGCTGTTCATTGTCACAATTGAGGAAGCAGATTATAAATTGTGAACCTGAGAAAGACTTGTGAGCACAAAGGCCATTCTCCACCTAGTTGTCCATGATGCTTGCAACATCCACTACCCCATGGCCCCCAAATAGAATAGTAGGTGAATGTTCACGTATCACAACAGGTTTTCTCTGGCCAAATAAAGACCTTGCAATGTGTTTTAAAAACAAAAAAAAGTTACTAAGTAAATGGATTCATTTAAACCCATGAAAGTTCAGGAGTTATCACATCTCAAGCTATGCTGTAAAGCAGTGATCCTTGAAACTAAATACTAGTTTATTTTTTTTCCCCAATTTTATTGATTTTATTGATTTATCAACAATCACTTCCATGTGCTTTTGAGTTGAAAATTTCTCTCCCCCTTCCTCCCCCCCACCCTCCCCAAGACGGTGCACATTCTGATATAGGCTTTACATTTACATACCCATTAAATATATTTTCACATTAGTGAAGTTGTAATTAAAAATTAAAACCAATAGGAGGAGCCATCAGAAAGATGAAACAAAACTCAACAGAAGGTAAAAATAAGTGATAGTGATTCGACTTCCATAGTTCTTTCTTTGGATATGGACAGCATTTTCCATCCCAAGGCCTCTGGAGATGTCTTAGATCCTTGTAATGCTGAGAAGGGTTCAGTTTAACATTCTTAGTTATTGCATAATGTGGCTGTTATTGTGTACAAAGTCCTCTTGGTTCTGCTCACTTCACTCAGCATCAGACCATATAAGTCTTTCCTGGTTTTTCTGAAGGCAGCCTGTTTATCATTTCTTAGAGCACAATAGTATTCCATTACATTCATATACCACAACTTGCTCAGCCATTCCCCACTTGATGGGCATCCTCTCAATTTCCACTAAATACTAGTTTAAAAATAGAAAAGTTGATCAGTGGAACAGATTGAGTAAACAAGACCCAAGAGCAATCGAACGTAGTTAGCGTAGTGTTTTATAAATTTTAGAGCACCAGATAAAGAGCTGGTGTGGCAAAAACTGCTGAGAATCCTGGAAAGCACTTTGACAGAAATGAAGCTTAGCCCTGGAGCTTACACCATGTAGTACAATTAACTCCAAAAGGATAAATGACCTAAATAAAAATATCACTTTTTTCTTACTATATCTGTAATTTCAACATTGAAGGGAGCTCCTGCTAGGGAATTTTCTACACCAGTACAGATCAACACTTTCTCTAAAACAGAGAGTCATTAAGAATTACCTGGAGCACCTGGAGATAATGTGACTTGCCCAGGCTCACACATGTGGCCAGAATAGGTCACTATAGGAATAAGATACTGTTCACATCTATGACTAACCAAAAAACTACACAAAGTATAAAAGTCATCATAGAAGATAAAATATTCTATATCATTAGTATTAAGAGAACTGTGAACTAAAACAACTCTGAGGTTTATCTGCAATTCCATCAGATTGACAACAATGTCAGAAGATGAAAATGGAGGTTCTAAGATATTGTGGGAGGACGCTGTGCCCATCAACTAGGAAATGACTAAACAAATTGTGGTATGTGAATGTAATGGAATATCATTGCATTGTAAGAAATCATACATTCAGGGGCAGCTAGGTGGTGCAGTGGATAGAGCACCAGCCCTGAAGTCAGGAGGACCCGAGTTCAAATGTGGCCTCAGACCAAACACTTGACACTTACTAGCTGTGTGGCCCTGGGCAAGTCACTTAACCCCAATTGCCTTAAAAAAAATCCAGAAATGATACATTCAGAAAAACAGGTATGAACTAATACAGAATGAATTAAGTGGATCGAGGAGAACAATTTACATGACTACAATAATGCAAGAAAAATAACTTCACCTATTCAATTGATGCTTTCAGTGACCAGTCTTAACTTTGAAGTTAAAACAGATGATGAAGTGTACCACCATATTGTATGTATGTGCCACCACTGTATTCACAGAATATTGCTTCTCAGGAAAGGAACATAGTCTGAGGAGAACTGTATGCCTCAAAATATTTTCAAGGCTCTCATGTAGAAAAGAGAATAGGTTTGTTCTCTTTTATCTCTAGCAAAAATGGTGAAGTAGGCACAGTGGATAGAGTACCAGCCCTGGATTCAGGAGGACCTGAGTTCAAATCCAGCCTCAGACCAAACACTTGACACTTACTAGCTGTGTGACCCTGGGCAAGTCACTTAACCTCAATTGCCTTTAAAAAAAAAAAAGTAAGAAAGCAAGAGTATAAGGCCCAGAGGACCATAGGATCAAGTGGCAGGGCAGATGGTAAGGCCAAATATTCTTCCTTCTCACTTGAAAGGATTAGTATTGGTGACTTCCATTTTATCCAAGTGTTATCAGTAGTCATACCACTCTTCTCAGTTGGCATCTCTCATAAGGACTTGGTGGCCTGGGGAAGGTGGAGAGGGCAAGTGAGAGGAAAGGAAAAGGTGAGTGGGTCCCTAGCTCTTGGCTGCTTCATGGGATTTCTCTGAACTGACTTAAAAATGGATATATTATGGGCTAAATATGAGAGGCAGTATGCTATCGTGCATAGAGTGTTGGACTTGGAATCAAGTGCTCTTGGGTTCAGTTCCAAACTCTCGTCACTTACTAGCTATGTGACCTTGAGGAAGTCACTTACTCATCTGTAAAATGGTGATAATAATAGTCCTTAACCAGATTCTTGTGAAGAGCAAATGAGATTAATAAGCAAAATGCATCATAGATCTTAAAGTGCTAGATAAATTTGAGCTACGTAAGGTACTTGGAGTTTAGGAAGGAAATATGAGAAATAGTCTTTTAATCTTTGCTAACTTGGCTTATTCTTCTTCATTAGGGCACTGTCTTTAATCTGGAGTCAGAAGAGGAGGAGCCTGGAATTATTGCAGAGGACAGCAATGATATTTACATCCTAACCAGTGACAATTCTGCACAGGTCACTCCTCCAGAATCTCCAACTGTGACCACTTCCTGGCAGTCAGAAAGCTTACCTGTTTCTCTATCAGCGAGTCAAAGTTGGCATACAGAAAACCTACCAGTGTCTTTGGGTCCTGAGTCCTGGCAGCAGATCGCTATGGATCCTGAAGAGGTTAAGAGTTTGGATAGTAATGGTGGTGGGGAAGAAAGAAGTGAGAACAATTCTTCCAATTCTGATATTGTGCATGTGGAGAAAGAAGAAATACCAGAGGGAATAGAAGGGACAGTGTCAGCTTCTGTGGTGCTGCAGGTACAAGAGGGGTCCCAGAGTGCTCCTGCCCCGTTGCTTCCAGACCCCAGTGCCACTTCCTTGGTAGAGATGGAGCAGGTCACAAAGATTGTTGCTGTTGAGAAAACCAGCCCTGCCACATCTTCATTTGTAGAACTTGAGGAAGAAGAGGTCAGAGCAGCAAAAGAGAAATCAGTTGGACTGCAGTTCCCCGCGCCAAGTTTTCCTCCATTGAAATCAACGCCCAAAGCTGATGAAGGGGTACCTACCCCAGAGCTGAAAAAAATGCTGCCTCAGGAAGGAGAGACAAAAATAAGGAAGGAGGGCCTCTCTGAAGACACATCTGCTGGAGAAGAGAAGCACATTTTGTTACCAGAGGGCAAATCTATCCTGCTGTATGGTGGTGCTGCTGCCGTTGCCATGTTGGCAGTAGCAGTGGGAGTGGCTCTGGCACTGAGAAAGAAATAGCAGATTGTGTGAAAGAAAGGGAAGCAAACAGATGACCACATTTGGATTTGGAGTGAAGTAACTGATAACAAAGTCCATAGGTTTGCTTTTTCATCCTGTGGATTCAGACTCTGTGAGTGTGAAAGAGAAGGGTTAATTTAGTGGAATCTGAAATGGGAATTCCTGGGGGCAAAAGAATTTAGTGGCAGACTACTCCAGCAACTGGCCTGTCTGCTGTTTACCCCCTGAAATTTCTAGTTTTCTTAAGGTACTGGCTGTTGTTGCAGCCACACCAATTCATCCCTTCTCCTTTTCTCTACACCCTCTGTCCTGTAGCATGAGGGAGCCCTCCCCTTATGTTTCAGCTGCCTCTCAGGTACTGCACTGCTCCTTTTCATCCCCAAATTTCTTCTAAGTCCCCATGGGAGAGTGCTTGCTCTATACCTCTGCTCTTACCGTCAAGTCCCCAAAGCTTTCTACAGCTCTGCCTTGTAAAGATGCTGCCTTTAGAACTCTTAAAAACCACCCCCAAACCAGAGATACCCAGGGTTCCTTACGCAGTCAGAGGACGGGGCAAATCACTGTTGATCAGAATGAGAAATTTTAGTCTTACTTGGAGACTGAAGGTCAGACCAGTTGACCTGCTCTGGTTCATTTTTATAATCATCCTATTCACTTTTCTGGTCGTTTCCCTCAGTGGTGGAATCAACTCTGTTGTCACTTGTCTGTGACACTGCTTTTCTCATTTGCTGATTGTCTTTCCTACTACATATCCAGCTCTTGACAGGTCACAATTCAGTGTGATGAGGATTCATATACTATTATTTATGGAGCCAGCTGACAACTTGTTAAATATAGAAAGTCATTTATATTTTGTTGAAGTCAAGCTAGGAACCTGGAAAACCTGTAAAATTAAAGACTAAGGCCTCCTCTGGGGTGTTAGTTTGGCCTGGTTGTTCCAGGATGCCATCACTGTAACCTTGGTTTCTTCATGCTTCTTTCTACAAAGTAAAGTGATGTAGGCCAAAAGGAAATCAAAGCAGCGCTTCCCAGTCAGTGTAGTTAGTTTCCATTCAGTACAGTCTCTCTCCCTCCCATCTCTTTGGCAGTGTTTCAAATTCCTTCCCCAAAAGAGGGATCAAACTGTGTCTTTTCATGCTTTTGAGGTCATGGTGTCATCATGCAGATGATGTATGCCTGATGCAAAAACCTATTTCACGTGCATCAGAAAATGTAAATTACTTTTTTTGATCTTGTAATTTGTAATAAAATTAATTTGAAAAGACATCTACCTAAACTGATCACATAAACCCTCATGTTTTATATGTACTTTGTTTTTTACATTTCATTTAAAAAAATGATTTCTTCCTGGAGCAATATTGTTTCTTAGTTGGCCAAGAAAATAACTAAAAATTTATCTAGCTTCTGTAGTTTTATAGATGCAATGTATTTTGTCATTCCTGAGATTTGCTTAGGGTTTTATGTTCTCTAGGTTTTAGTGTAGCTCAAGAAATAATCAGAATTAGCACAATTTTGAATGAATTAAGAACCAGAAAGCCCCTTGAACACTGTTTTTTGAGATAATGGCAGTCAGATTTGGTTTGTATGTATTTTAATTTCTGCATCTTGAGTTTGTCTTTTTAATTGTAACTCACTGATGACTAAGATGATAATGAAGAGAACTGATTAGTTTATCTTGACCTTTTTTTAAAATAGTAAAATGAAATTCTCCATTCTTCTGTAATTTTAAAACCCTGGGTTTCAAAGCCCAGTGGTTGGTGCTGAATACATAAAAGAGGCACTAATAAAGGCAAGCCCAGGTTTTTGAACTGTTAATTAGGGAATTTTAACCTTATGAGGTTATGTGTGTGTGCTTGCTTTCTTTTCCCTTCAAGAAAGAGATAAGAAAGAAGAGGGGCCTAAAGAAGTGATTGTTTTAGCTCTATGGGTTCTCTGTGTTAGTTTTTCCTTCTGTTGAACCCAACCTATTTTTTTGCCGTATTTGCTGCATAAGTTAAATAGCAATTTCTTTATCTCTTCTCTTAACTTTCTATGACCGTTTTTTTGGTTCTTGGATAAGGTGGCATATACTTCTTGTGTATTAATGTTTCTATTGCCCTTTTGACTCCCTAAATCAAAATTAAAATGAAGATCCGAAACAAATTTGATTGGTTTCTAGGAATCATCTTTTTAATATTCAGACATCTCCTCTTGTTTACCCTATTTTTAAAAAGGGTGCTCCATTCTTTGGAATATTGAAGAATATGTTTTTTTATCCTCGGTTTCTTATTTCCTTGTTTGGATGGAATATGTATCTCCTTGATAATTTATTTTAACACTCAGCAAAGAGCCAGGCTAAAAATCTAGAATTAAGAAATTTATCCTTTTTCCTGTGCTTAGGCAAATCAGTGTTTTCTTCCCCAAAGCCCTCCTCCCTGCCCTATTGCAGGGTATTCTGTGGGTGCTAAATTAATAATAGTTATTTTTGTTTTAATGATAACTGTGGGGAAATGACAATTCTGGGAGGGGAAAGCACAAGTGTTAACCATTTCTTTCACACAATTTTCACACTTAGACATCTGAATCCTAGGTATCTTCTGTGTACCATTTATTTTTAACACAATCTTGGTAAGTTCAGACACTGGTAGAGTTTTATTTTTCCCCCCCAAGAGGATTGAGCAGTGGACATAGTCAGCAATCTTGGTTTCCATTCTGTGTTCTATTGCTGATTTACTGTGACAAATAATTTCATTGGTCTGTGCTCCAATTTCCTCTTAAGTAAACTGAGTTTAATAGTTGATTCTTGTCTATTTTCTGAAGGTAATGTGTGCAGCAATACAATAATACCTTCAGAGATTTCTAGGGTTTTCTGTTAGAAATTTTATAAAAATTAAAGGGGCTATTTATAGGTCATCTTTCCTGTGTTTCTGTAGTAACTACCCTCATGATTTTTCTGTTTTCTCAAATCACCATGTAAGAATCTGCAAAGAACTTGAGTTGGTGATGACAATTATCCCACTTTCTGTGACCCCAAAAGAATGGCCTATGGGGTTGAGCACTCTTCTACCAGATAAACTATTTGTTTGTAGCTAATGGTTTTTCTGAAACATTTTTACTTTTGTTATATTTTGCCCTTTATATAAAAAGCATATTGCCCATAAAAAGCATATTTACCTATAAGAATTATCTTCTCAATTAGTTTATCATCAAATTCTCATTTCAGGTGAAATCCCTCTCCCCCTCCCGCCACCATTCATCGACGAGAAAGTTGATCTCTGATATGACTGACCTAAATTAGGATATACTTTTTTCATGTTAGAATTACTTTTCCTGTAAGGTTGTGTGTGTGTGTCCATGTTCATGACTGTATGACTAGCCTTGAGTGAAAATTAGGGAGGAGAGAGGCAGGCTGTGAGACTTGTTTTCACCACAGTCTTCCAAGATTTTGACCATATACACCAAAAAGCTAGTAGGATCAAGGGCTTCTGCCTCTCTCAGAGATGGAGCTATGGAAAACTTTAGGGGAATACATTCTATTTGGTTTTTAAAGGAACTGATCTGAAATTTTGTGTAACATCAGGGAGTTTTCATCTGTGAAAAAAGAGACTTGGTCTAGGTCAGGGTGGGGAACATGTGGCCTTCTAGGTCCTTGGGTGTGGCTTTTTGACTGAGTCCAAGTTTTGCCAAACAAATCCTTTTATTAAGGGGATTTGTTCTGTGGAGTTTGGATTCAGTCAAAGGGCTGCACTTGAGGATCTAGTTCTAACTCCTATGATCCCATGACATGGATCATTGGAGAGACAACAAGAGACCACTTGCTAGTGTAAGAAAGTTACCATTCGTACCAGTCTTTTATTAGTTCCTTTGGTTTATAGATTAAGAATGAGCTTAGACCTATTAAGTGCTTTATTTTAGGAGCATGCAGCTTGAGGAGGGAGCATGGGTTACTCCATCATTCTCCACAGGAATCTTTCTTTCACATCACTCACCTCTCCTTTTTGTTCTTACTCTTATAATCCACAGGGTAATGGGGGCATCTACCAACATTGCTTAGCCCAGCTTGGGGCAATTCAAAGCCTAAAAGATGTTGCTTACTGTCGCATAAATAAGTCATTTAATTACCTTCTTAACCCAGCCAGGAACGTTGGGTTGGCTGTGTGTTGAGCCAGTGTCTGACCATTGTCAGCACTTTGATACAATGTCAATTCTCTTGCACAAACCTGGGAGGATAGCCTATTGCTAGGTAACTAAGTCATCCTAGGCCTTCTGTAGTCCACCTATGACTATATATAATCCAAGGACTAGGATGAATTGTGGCTCCAAGGTGACTACCTTTCTATAAGCCAAAACTTACAATTGCTTTATAAGATTTAAAGATAGATAAATAGGTAGTTAGATATTTTCATAAGGTATTTTCATTCCTGCCTCTCCTGTGAAATAGAGGAGCCAGCCCACCCCTATGGGTCTTAAAAGTGTCTACATTTAAAAGATCTAAAAATATATATATGTATATCTAATTCCCTCTCAAGACTAATATTAGGTGACCCTAGCCTAGGCTAGATTGCTCTTGTTAGTAATTGGAAGTCACTGGATCCTTATGTTTACACTACATACAGCCAGTCGTGTGGCTTCTCAGTATGTAGAGCTCAGGTTGAAATTATGCTCAGGGATGTCTGCTAGGCATTGCAATAGGCCAGAAAGCAGAGAAGGCTTAAGGCAACTTTTTCCCCCCATTATTTCACCAGAGCAGAAGGGAAATTTTGTGATTAATGCTCACCATTAATAAACTCCCTCTGTACTACTGGGGGCAAAGCTAACTTAAAAAAAAAGCATTTTCTGTTTAGAGCACAACTGTTAATATTTGGGGTATCTGGCTTGTTACCTGGCTTTTGGAGGTGCAGAAAGGAAAATGTTTTGTGAACTAGTATAATTGTCCTGGCACCTTCTAACAGGAGGATTGTGCTTTTGTAGGGAATTTTTTGATCAGCATTGATGGAAATAATCCATTCCAGATCTGTGCTTTGCTGCTGTTGTCTTTTTCTTTTTTCTCTTCCTTCAGATTAAGTGCCTCACTTTCTGCCTAACCAGTTTCCTGACTGGTTTTGTCTTCATTATGTTCTCATCTAAAAAAAATGCTAGAATTCAAGAATTTAATGAATCCAAAATCTCCCAATCTTGTTTGTTCTTTTCCTATTTATAGCCACAGTCTGCATTCAGATTATTCCAGCATCTGGTTTATCCACCTCATAGGTGGTTCATTATTTTCTTCTTCCTTCCCATTACCTATCTTTTGGCCATTTTACCCCTTATAAAACAAGAAGCAAACAAAAACATGTTGGTTTTGTGGGTGAGCAGGTTGGGACTAGTGTCTATTTGAAGTTTTGGGGACATCCCTCAATTCCCTTTCCCTATAGAGAATTTGCAGCACTAAACACCAGTCAGTACAAATATCTGCAGATAGGCTGTGCCAACAAAGCCAGATTCTGGGAAGTGCTACTATAGCTGCTTGAGATTTTGGGTAAGAATTGAGCCCCTCTTAGCAATGACGATGGTCAGGTTGGGGAACAGGTGGGATCTGTAGTGATTTATCATTTTACATACATCATCTTGCTTCCAGAAACCCAGCATCTTTTGAGGAAAGAGCTTTTTGTCTTTTTCCCAAGAGAAACAAATGAAACGAACCATTCTATGAATCTGATAAAGTCAACTTTCATTTATCTACAATTTGCATCATCCACGGTCAATTTAAAATTCTCCCATCTGAGTGACCTGCTGACATTTTGTGAGAACTCAAATCTTGAAAATTAATTTTAGTGTAGTGTAACCTCTGTAATGGTAGTTGGGAACAAAACTAGTAACTAATAACAGGCTCACCATGTTGAGTTAGATTTTTATTATGTATGTATTTTATAGATCTATATATGTCTAATAATTGTCTGTATTTGGTGGTTGAATTCTACTCCTCACTTAACTATAATAAAACATTGGGAAGCAGAGTCTACCATTGTTGTAAAAATAGTCTAGATTGTTTGACCTTTTGAATTATCTAAGTCATTGCCCTTAACTACCAATGGCAATTTATGGTTGACAACTTCTATTTTAATTGTTCTTTTTTGCTAAAAATTTCTCCCATCCTCCCCTAATTGGGAAACTTAATGTATTGATGCATAATGCATAAAAATGAACAAAGCATATGTGAACAGCCAGACTCCCTCATATTGATATATATATTGATTTATTTTTATCAATAAATTACTTGTTCATGGGGACTTAATTTTTTTTTTAATGAAGAGGCAGCCCTTAGTTCAAGCTTCTGTGTCTTTGTCCTCAATTTGGTGACAACATTGCGCTGTATTCTTTTTTAGCATCTGTTTGTTCATTGCTTAATCCAGCCAAGGCTGAAGATAGAAACTTCTGGTTTTTTCCACAGCTTTCTAGCTCTTCAGCTTCATTTGAGTCCTGAAGATTACCTCCATTGCCTTAAATTATCTAATTTCCTATTCCTGATGAGGGTTTCCAATTTGAAGGCAGAAAGTGGAATTTCTGAGCTCATGAAATGCTTTTCTTACAATCAAGTGTATCAGCCCCTTTTGATGGATAAGGGAACTGAGGTTCAGAGAGGTTGTGACATGAAACAATGTAGTGGCAGAACTGGGATTTTAATTGAAGTCTGGCTCCAGGCACAGCACTCTTTTCTGCTACCCCATGCTTGCCCTCATGTGTCTCTAGTTATTGCTAAACTCTATTCTGTTGATCACACATTGTGTTACTAGACTTTGAGGTGACATTCCTGCATGCTTGGTTTTTAAACCACTAATGTTTTGGCTTGGCTACAACCTATTGCGTGTTCTTGGTAACTATTAGATTGGAGCCCAATCCTGTTTAATATTGCAATACACAAAACAGAAAAAAAGTATTCTCTTCCTTGATAATCTAAATTAATGATCCACCAAAAAAAAAGGCATTTTTGTGGGTTTTAATGAAATCCATTTGTTTACAGGATGAATTCTTATCTTTGTTCATGTCCCTTTCAAATGACAGTGATTACATTTAAAACTAAAATCATATGATCTTTTCTTGGCCACTCTGAAATAATTCCTTTGGTTGGATTAAGCTCGTTAGAACAAGTCTTAGTGTTGTGTATGAACACTAAGGGCATAATCTGGATCCATGTTTATTCTCCCCTTCGAAGAAGAGTCATTGTCATCCTTACACTCATGCCTGGGAACTCTCTAAACTGGCACTGACTATGAAACAGAGAGGGTTCCGTGGGGCGATACCAACAATCTGCCTATTTCCTAATTTCTTTCTGGAGCTGTCAGAATGGTTTGTCACTGGGATTGCCTTGGAATCAGGGTTAGGAAAGGGGAAGACGATCCTCAGGTTTTCTTTGATCATTCTTGCCTGGTTAACAGGTACACTCCCTTTGTAGCTGTTTTATGTGTTAGCCAGGTATGCAGAAAATGGAGGAGCTGATGATGTGACTCAAAATCAGAATATGTGAAAAAGCATCGAGCAGTATGTGGTACACAATGCCTTCCAGGAGACCCTTGTCATCTTAAAGGATACTCTTTCCACTTAGTACAAAGTCTTGGCTTTTTGAAGCCCACAATGGTCATCTAGAGAAAATGTAGTGATTAACGAGGCCAGAGGCCTTTAAATAGCCTTCTTACCCAGGATCATCTGTTTTCACTAAGTTCTGGTAAAGTTTGATGTTAATGACCCATGCACCTGTGGCCTAATCCATTGTTGGAGTGCAGCACTTTAAAGTGCAAAAAACCTTTTGTGCCATTTGGTTTTTTAAACAGGAAAGATACTTCTTCAGTGTTAAGAAGTGTTCTCCATCCCTAGTGGAATATATTTAGTTTCTAAGGGGTATGTACAAGCTTTCTCCAATCTTTTCTTTCCTTTAGATGGAACACTGCTTGCTGTAAGACCATACCCTAAGGTTGCACTTTAAGAAACAATAAAATTCTTTTTTAAAGTGTGCACATGTTTTCCTTATTCTAATTACATATTTTAATGGTTTATTGACTCAGGAAACTAGTCACTTGTACCATTTTGGTCATGTCAGTTTTCAGCACAGAGTGGTGAGTTATTTCATGAAGGTTTTTAAATTAGTTTAAAACAATTTTAATTAGAGTGTGAACTCCTATCCATCTAGTACATGTGTCTTTTAAGGCCAGTTATCTCCAGCTTTCTTATGTTGCTTTCTTAACCATGGTTTTCACACACATTGATAACCAATTTAAAATTTTATTTCCAATTACAAAAATTATCAACAAAACTGAAACATGATTAAGTTATATAAAGTCTTAACAAAAAATTGTCTTCAAGTCATCAAATAAAATTTCAAGTATAAAGCAGAAATTTAGCACTGGAACTTTATCAATACTTTCTTTCCATAGATATTTATAACTGCCAGTAGTGTCAAACTCAAGTACAAATTGTTATTTAAATGTTTCCCAATTACATTTTAATCTAGTTTGGGCCACACTGGGGAGTGCCCCAGTGTGGCCCCCCTGCATCTGACACTCGTGTACTACCTACCGTATGTCAAGAAATGAATGATACACCTTTGGCTCAAAAGCCAAAGTCATGAATGCAGAACAGGTGACTTAGCACTGTAACAGAGAGGAACAGGAGAAGAGAATCATTTCTGTTCTCCACTAAATCACCAATTAAAAGTCCTATTTCCTTTTTTAAATGTCCAGGAAAACAAATAATCCAGCATCTTGTCTATATTTATCATGTCTTTATTCTTAAAACATAACATCTAAAAATATTTGTTCTGCCTATTCCATCAGACACTGGACTGCTTTCTCAAAAGCAGGTTTTAAATAGTCCAAATGTTTGGGTAAATGGCCTTTGCAAGATACTCCATTCAGTCCATGTCCTAGAGAAAAAAGGACAAGAAGACAAAAGAGTTAGCACTAAGCTAATGAAATAGCCCTTCCTTCACGTATCCAGAATTAAAGCTGGAATGAGACCTGAGAATAAGTTTAGCCCCCCTTATTCTACAACAGTATACCCAAGATCACAGCAGGCGGCTGAGCTGCAGTTTGGATCCAGGGCTTCTGACTACAAAATGAGCAAACACTCTTTCCTGTTACACCACACTGATTACTTAGTGTTTTAATGTATTGTAATTACTGGGGTGTAACTCCAGATGCCACTGATCATACAGAAGGGCAGCACAGTTAAAATAAAAAAATTAAAGGAGAAACCTCTCACCTACGGCATCTCACGCCCCTGTAAATATAGCATATTCAACTTAACCTGTTCCTTGAAGATGAACTAATCCATGTGACCGAATGAGCCGATTTCCGTTTTAGGCTTCCTAGGCCTATAGCTATATGTGAGATGTGTATAAAAACATCTCGGTCACCTTGGTAACTATTCTCCATTAACATCTCCCTCTGCAGGTTCTTAGGAAGGGTAAAAGTTTTAAAGCACTCTTGACTTGAAGCTGTGCATCTATTGAATAAGCTGCCCCTCAGCTTCTGTGGGATAAGGCAGTAATCGAAAATCTCAGGACTCTACCATAATCCTTCATAGCTATCAGGCCCATTTGATTCTTGACAACTTGGATGCATGCTGCTGCAAGCAATGTTACAGGAACTTTGTCAGGGCCCACTTCTTAAAAACTCAATTTGGTTTAAACTTTGAGTTCTTAATGTTATTTGCTACACCTTTCCTCTACTGGGGCTATGGTACTTTAAATGGATAACATAGCAAATGAACACAGTTGGTAGCCTGAAGCAGTTAGTTTTAGGGGTCATTGATGAATATTAGGAAGTGGGGGGAAGTCAGCTTATTCATGTAGAAACTGTAAAACTCCTCAGGATGTCTTTTTAAAAAATAATTCAGATACAAAGTGAACCTTTCATTTGGATGAAACGCGTTATGTAATATGTACCCACTTGTGACTTCAACATTGATTCATAATTTAGGAGAAACCTAGAGTCCTGGTGATAGGTATGAAGAATGAGCACCTTAAAATTTTTCAGGGACTTGAATATGGAAATGAGGTATTCTGCCACAGGGAAGATTTTAAATAGTTCTTTGTGTACTTTTCCCTTTGAATTTCTCCTGACTCCCTTGCTTGTTCAAATACATGGTTTTAAAATGTGCTAACTTTTCATGAAGTGACAGAATAAAATTGAGTCCTAGCCATCGGGCCTGTGAACCCTTATCCTATCAGAAGCATGACAAAACTCCCATCTTGTCTCTGCTAATAACTCAAACAGTCAGGGCAATAGGCCTCGAGTTTAAAACCATTTCCTGTATCTCCTCACTGCATGCTCTACAAATGCCTTATTTCCTGAGAATTAGGTTCAGCTGCATCAGTTGTCTTTTCAGGTAGGAAACCAGAACCACTGGTAGCAAGGTAAGCATACTGTGTGCAGGTAGTCCACGACTGGTTTCAGTAATCACTGTTCCCTTCTTGGCTTTGGAACTCCCCAAAAGGCTAAACTGTCTTGATTGGCGAGTGAGTACCACCTAACCTGTGTCAGACTGATCCAGACCCTTCTTCCCATCCCATTCACCTGAATCAGCCTGCAATCTGCACCTAACTCAACACACACACACCTGTTTTGGATGCAATAATCAAATCAATGTACTATTGCTTTTGGAAAGGTGATCAACTCACCATTCCCTACAACTCCCGAGACCCAAACTCCTTTCCCTAGCTGCCACTCCTCTGCATGTATTCTCTCCTGTTAGAATGTAAGCTTAACACAGTGCATTGAAAATATATGTTCCGTGCCTCCTCTTCCTATCCTCTTTTAAACCCTCTGCAACCTAGCTTCTACACCTCAGTCAACTGAAACTACCCTCTCCCAAGGTACCAATGATCTTTTAATGACCAAATCTAACGGTCTTTTCTCAATTTGCATCCTTTTTGACCTCTCCGCAGCATCTGATATTGTCGGTCACCTATTCCTACATACCCTTTCCCCTCTGGGTTTTCATGACATTGGTTCTCTTGGTTCTCCTCTGTGTGAATGCTCCTTCTCAATCTCCACTGAGTCCATGTCATGCCCATTAACACTGGATGTCCTTCAAGAATCTGTTCAGTCCCTCTTTTCTTTTTCTCTCTCAGTGGTGACCAGATCATCTCCTCTAAGTTAAATTATCGAATCCATGCAGTTGATTCTCAGATCTTTATAATCAAGCCATAGTCTTTGTCCAGTCCCACATCACCAGCTGCTTACTGGACACATCTCAAACTAGAGGTCTTGTAGGTATCTCAAATAACACATCCCCAAACTGTCCCCTCTTAACAACTTTCCTATTACTGCTGAGAGCACTACCATCTTCTTACAGCCACACAGACAAGAGAATTGCTATTATCTTGTACTTTCTAACTCCTCAACATCTACACACACGCCCTTCTCTTCACCCACACAACCGCTATATTTGGGGAGGCCCTCCTTACCTCTCACCTGAAATGTTATTAGACAGGTCTAATTGGTTTCCCTGCTTCCAGTCTCTCCTTACTCTAATCCATTCTCCACTCACCTGCCAAGGTAAGGCAGTCAGTAATTAAAAACTTAAGTGCCTACTATATGTCAGGCACCGGGCTAAACACTAGGGGTATGAAAAGAAAATCCCTACTGTCAAGGAACTTAACAATCTAATGGGGGAGACAACATGCAAACAAATCTCTACAAAGCAAGCGATATACAGGATAAATAGGAAATAATTAAAAGAGGGAAGGCACTGGAATTAAGACTTAGTAGAAAGTGGGATTTTAGTTGGGACTTAAAAGAAGCCAGGGAGATCCACATTCAGAGCAGAGGAGGGAGAGCATTCTAGGCATGGGGGAACAGCCAGAGAAAATGCCCAGAGCTGAGAGATGTAGTGTTTTGTTCGTGGAACAGCCAGGAGACCAGCGTCACTGACTTAGAGTATGCCGTGGGGAGTAAGGTGTAACTAGACTATAAAGGTTGGAAGGCGCTAGGTTATGAAGGGCTTTGAATGCCAAACAGCATTTTGTATTTGCTCCTGGAGGTAACAGGGAGCCATTGGAGTTTACTGAATGGGGTGGGGAAAACAGGGGTGGAGGTAGGGGGTACACAACATGATCAGACCTGTGCTTTAGGAAAATCACTTTAGTGGCTGAATGGAGGATAAACTGGAGCAGGGAAAAACCTGAGGCAGGCAGACCCACCAGCAAGCTATTACAGTAATCCAGAGGGCTTATATTAGAGTGGGGGCAGTGTTAGAAGAATGAAGGGCGCATATTCTAGAGAGATGTTGTGAAATCAACATGCCTTGGCAACAGCTTGGACATGGGGGGGTGAGAAATAGGGAGGAGTCCAGGATGACTCTTAGATTTTGAACCTAAGGAACCGCGAGGATACAGTAATAGAGATGCTAGGAGAAGGGAGGGTTTAGGGGGAAAGATAATGAATCTATTTTGGACATGGTGAGTCATATAGGTCTGACTGAGTCACTCCTCTTATTCAGTAAACTTCAGTTGGTCCCTCTTACCTCCAGGATCAAATATAAAGTCCTATATTTGGCATTTAAAACCCTTCGCAATTGGGCACCTTCCAACCAAGATCCAGCTATACTGGACTGTTTGCTGTTCCTTGCACATGATACCATCTTCTGGTTCTCTGTTTCTGCAATGGTTGTCTTCCATGGCCTTCCTCACCTCCATTTCTTGGAATCCCTGGCTTCTTTAAGGAATTAATTCAAATTCCTTCTGCAAGCGAGCTTTCCTGGGACCCTCCAGCTGCTAGAACCTTCCCCTCAAAATTACCTGCCATATTCTCTGTATTTGTCTTGCCTGTATCTCTTTAACATGTTATTTCTCCCATTACAGTGTCCTCCTTGAGGTCAGGAATAGTTTTTACTTTTCTTTGTACCCCAACACTTAACACAGTGCTTGGCAAATAGTGAGATTTTAATAAAAGCTTGTCATCTGACTGCCACATGCTAAATAATAAATCCATTTTCATTCATCCATTCAATCACTTGTTCATTCATTCCTCTAAACCAACCGAAGCTAGGCTGTCATTTTTTTTCCAAGGCAATTGGGGTTAAGTGACTTGCCCAGGGTCACACAGCTAGTAAGCATCAAGTGTTTGGTCTGAGGTCACATCTGAACTCAGGTCCCCTGACTTCAGGGCCGGTGCTCTCTCCACTGTGCCACCTAACTGCCCCTAGGCTGTCATTTTTGAAGAATGAGGATAATCAGCTCAGATTTGTCCTGTCATTTGGTTCTGTAATTCTTAGAAGATTTATGAGAAAACAGGTACATAGAGAAGTAAACCTGAGATGAGCCCCAGCAATGTAAGACAGGCATCATCCTTGGAACTTACATGAGTTAAGTTCCTTGTGTAGGTAAGGAGGTTCTGGTTAATGTAATCTACAGTGATGTAAAAGATGCTTCGCAACAAGGATGGGGCATGGGTCATAACTTTTTTAGCCAACAGCATTGTTAGCAATAGTTTAGCCTTCTCTTGCCCAAGGTCCTGAGAAATTGTCTGTGTCTGCATCACTTTGTCCATAGTAGCAGCCAGGTGTCTTCTCTTTTCCTGTGGAAGAGGGGAGAAAAAAGGTAGGAAAAAGTTCAGAGCTTTTTTAACCGACATTTGTTCCTCCAGAAGGCACAAAGAAAGCATTCTACGTAGGTATCTAACAAGCAAAAATAAGTGCACGACAATCATAGCAAGGTTAGATAGCAAGGACTATTAAACCTTGTGAGAAACTGGAAAAGAAGCTGCAAAGCAGTTTCACAGAAATTAGCCTTTGACCGACATCTTAGGGCAGCCATATATTAAAATACATTCCAAACAGACCTTAAGTTCCTAAGTGACTTAATGTAGAAGGTCCCGTAAGAATCAAAAAACAAACAAAAAACCCACCACCAAACATTTATTTGTTCATTCTAAATTCAATTTTGTTTTCAATTCTGAACTTCATCCTTCCTTTCTCTCCCACCCCACCCACTGAGAAGTCAAGAAAAGCAAAATCCATTACAGATGTGTATAGTCATGCAAAACAATTTTCTGTATTAGCCATATCCAAAAAAGGAAACAAAAATGCTTCAAATTGTCCATGAACTCTCTATCTGGAGGTTGTTTTAAAAAAAATTAAAGGAGAATGAAGGGGGCACTTTTCAGATCCATGGCTAGGAGAAAAATTAATCAAGGTATAGCAATGATCATAACAGATAAGCCAATTTTAAGTACATAAAACTAAAAGGCTTTTGCATAAATGAAATCAATTATCTAGAAAGAGAAGAGAAACTGTCAAACTGGGAAATCATTGTATCATAATCTCCAACACAGAGAACTGATGCAAAGACTTAAAATTTAAAAAAAATCATTTCCCAGTAAACAGGTCAGATAATGGTATGAAGTTGTTTTTTTTTTTAAATTATATCATTGGTTTTGATATCAATTTCATTTCCAAATAATATCCTTCCCCTCTGACTCACCCATCCAATCCTTCCTTGTAACAAAGAGTAAAAAGAAAGAGAAAGCAATTTTAGCACATCAACTAAGTCTAACAATGCATACAATATTCCACACTTCTGCAAAGACGAGAGAGAAGTATATTTTCTCAACTCCATTCCAGGGCCAAGCTTCATCATAAGAATAAAGAGTTGAGTTTACTTTTTTTTTAACAGGTAGTTAAAGACTGAAACGTGAACTATCAACAGTGCTCCAAAGAATAATAAAATGTAAACTAACTGAGGTTTTACCTTATACTCAGATTGGCAAAGATGACAAAAGACAAAAATGGTAAATGTTGGAGATGTGGGAAGGCATGTCCACACTGGTGTACACCGGTAGAGCTAAGCCTTGATGTGATGGCTCTAGAAAACAATTTAGAACTATTCTAAAAATTCACTAAGTTATACTTCATGATACTAATATTCAGCCTGTACCGAAGGTCTGAGAGAGACTGGCCCTGTGTGTACAAAAATATTTATGGCAGCACATTTAAAAATAAAAATTTATTGATATTTTTTGAAACAATTTAAAATCACCTACACTGCCCCCTTCCACACAGCAGAGATTCTTAAACTGATGACTATGAACTTAACTTTTTTCTTTTATTTAGGATTTTATTTTTCCCCAGTTCATGTAAACACAATTGTTAACATTCGTTCTTAGAACTCTTGAGTTCTAATTTCTCTCCCTTCCTCCCTCCCCACCCCATCCCACCCCCTCTTTGAGAAGGCAAGCAATTTGATACAGGTTATATATGTGTAGTCATGCAAGACATTTCCATAATAGTCATGTGAAAGAAACACAGACCCCCCCCCAAAAAAAAACCTTAAGAAAAAACAAAGAAAGTAAAAAAAACTTATGCTTTGATCTGTATTCAGATACTATCAATTCTTTCTCTGGGGATGGATAGCAGTTTTCATCTTAGGTCCTTCAGAGTTGTCTTAGATCACTGTATTGCTGAAAATAGCTAAGTATGAGCTTATTTTTAAAAAATATTTTGATAACTGCATTTCAACATAAGTGGCTTCCTTTACGTGTTTTATTTATTATTCTGAAAAGGACTTCACCAGACTGCCAAAGGAATCTACGTCAAAAAAGGTTAAAAACTTCTACTTAAAAAAGAGTAAGAGAGGAGGGAAAAATGAAGCAAAACTAACTTACATATTCAGGCCAAACTCTCATGGTCTGAACTCATTCCTTAATAATTAACATATAATGCTGTCATCTTATCATGCCCTATCCCAGTGATTCTGAACCCCACAAATACCTGAAAGTCTTTCAATTCATTAAATGTCCGTTTTTAAAAAAAATTTTGTCGTTCAGCTTTGCTGGGTAAGTTATTCTTGGTTGCTCCTTCACTCTTCTAACTATAATGTTCCAAGCCCTTCTGTCTTTTATTTATTTTTTCCTTTTTTAGGCAATTGGGGTTAAGTGACTTGCCCAGGGTCACACAGCTAGTAAGTATCTAATGTCTGGTCTGAGGCCACATCTGAACTCAGGTACTACTGACTTCAGGGCCGGTGTGCTATCCACTGCCACCTAGCTGGCATCACCGTCTGTCTTTTAATGTAGAAACTGCTAGGTCTTGTGTTATCCTGACTGGAGTTCCACGGTATTTAAGTTGTTTTCTTTTTCTTGTTGCATGTAGTATTTTCTCCTTAACCTGGGAGCTTCAAAACTTGGCTATGATGTTACTGTGAATTTTTATCTTGGGATCTCTTTCAGGTGGTAATTGATAAGATTTTTTTCTATTTCTATTTTATCCTCTCATCCTAGAACTTCAGGGCAATTTTCCTTAATGATTTCTTGTAATATAGTATTTAGACCTTATTTTTATCATAACTTTCAGGTAGTCCGACAATTCTTATATTGTCTGTCCTCAGTCTGTTCTCTGGATTGGTTGTTTTTTTTTTTTAATGAGATGTTTCACATTCTCTTCTATTTTTTCATTCCTGTGATTTTGTTTTATTATTTTTTTGGTATCTTATAACATCATTAGCTTCCTCTCTTGCCCAATTCTAGTTTTTAAGGAGTTATTTTCTTCCTTAAGTTTTTGCATCTCTTTTTCCAATTGGTGGACTTTTTGTAATTTTCTTGATTTTCTTAGATTGCTCTTTTTCCCCTGCTCTTTTTCCCCTCCTAATTCTTCCTCAACCTCTCTTATCTGATTTTTGAATTTCTTTTAAAGCTCTTCCAAGAACTCTTTTTGGGCTTGTGACCATTTGACATTTTTCTTTGAAGTAGGAATGGCTTTCTTAACTTCACTATCTCCTTCTGAGTATGAACCCAGATCTTCTCTAGCCTCATTGTAGCTATCTATCATTGGGTTCTTTCTCCTTAGTTATTTATTATGGCTTATTATCATATTAACACCATATCGTTTTTATTATTGTTATTATTATTATCATTATAGTCAGGATTTAGTCCACAGTGTGAGGGGTGAAGTTTCAAGCTTTTTCTACTGTTGTTATCTAAGTACTGTCTGGGGGCCTGACCTCCAGCATTCCTTTCTACCTCTGAGCCACAGCCAGGGCCTCCAACCAGGGACCCCAGCTACCTGTTACCACAAATGCTCCTGCTCCCTGTGGTCCTTCCTGCAGCTACAAACTTCAGCTGAACCCTCTGCCCTGGAATTGAAACCAGAACTCCATTCTCCTCCAGTTACCTATAGCTAGCAACCCAGGACCATGTCTGGTCAGCACGGCTGGGCCTGATACCCAGTAACAGCAGAGGGTCCTTTTATCTTTCCCAACTCAGCTGCTGCCCCCCAACCTGGGTCAGTGAGATGGAAGTCCCTGAGGCTGAGGCTGCCTCCCTGACCCAGCTGCCTCCAGGGCTTGTGGTTTGCTAACTGGGGGGGGGGGGGGTCTGCCTGGAGGTGTCTGCACTTCAGTTGGGTCAAACCTCTAAGCCTGCAAGGTCTGGTCTTTTCTGAGGTCCTCAAGTTGTCTTAGAAGGACAAGTGCTTCATGCAACTGGGAAATAAGAAATACAGGAAATGGGGTACAGAAGTCTAACCTGCTTTATAGGAAAATAGAAGGGGAAGGGGATAAGAGAAGGGAAGGGGGAGAGATAGAAGAGAAGGCAGACCAGGGGAAGGGGTATTCAGAATGCATGCCATCTTGGTGTGGGGGAAGGGGTGAGAAATTTGGAACTCAAAAACTTGTGGAAGTGAATATTGAAAATTAAAAATAAATAAATTTATATTTAAAAAAAAGAAAGCCACATATTAACATTAAAAAAAAAGGACAAGTGCTTTACCCCAATTTTTATTCATTTCTGTCCAAGTTCACTTTGAGGTAATGTCTTGTCTTGTATGTGGAAGAAATTTGGAGAGCCTGATATTTTCTGATGTACTCTGCCAGATGGCAGAATCCCAGAATCCTATCTCTCAGCACCTTCTTTTGACTATGGTGACCCACCTCACAGTTCAAGGTACTAGTGAAATGCAAATTTCTGCCTCTAGAAATGAAGCAAAAGGACAGATCAAGCTAGTATTACTTTTTTTTTTTTAGGCAATTGGGTTAAGTGACTTGCCCAGGGTCACACAGCTAGTAAGTGTCAAGTGTTTGGTCTGAGGTCAGATTTGAACTCAGGTACTCCTGACTTCAGGGCCAGTGCTCTCTCCACTGAGCCACCTCGCTGCCCCTAGTATTACTCTTGTTATTGTGATTATTATCACTTACTGTTACTGTAAGTGCAACCTCCATTTTAGAAGGCTCCTAAGTACAAGGAACTTTTAAACTTATGTATGGTTTGTTATAACCCTTTTTACTTACATGAAAAGAATAAACAGTTTTCTTTAAACCATAACCACCAGTTAAAAGTGCAATAGGTTCTCCCTCACTTCTGCAAAAGGTTTATGTCTCCACTCCCTACCACCTCTATGCCACTGGAAGTTAAGAGGAGTTCCTTTCTGAGAAGGTGGTTCTGAGGATATTTATTTATATCCAAGCTTAGCAGCCTGCCATCCTGAGATCTCAGATCACAGACTTATTGCTGAAGAGATCAATGAATGGATGGAACCACAGCTCGGGGATCAGGGATGAGAATAACTGACAACAGAGAGAAGGCACAGCTGTTTGGTTCTCATCTGCATGTTTTCTCAGTCAACTTGGAGTCAAGAAGACCTGAGTTTAAATCCAGCCTCAGATACTTTCTAGCTATGTGATCCTGGGCAAGTCACTTAATCATTCTCAGCCTCAGTTTCCTCATCTGTAAAATGGGGATAATAATAGCACCTACCTCCTAGAGTGGTTTTGAGATTATATACTTACAACACTATAATAAAAGTAACCAAGAAGGGTAAAAGATCACTTAGCTGCTTTTGATAAGTTCAAGTTACCAGAAAACCTACATCTCTGCTATGCAGAAGAGCTGGAAGATGTGATAACTGAGATGCTATCAGTGATTTCTGAAAGACCACAGAGAATAGGAGAGGCACAGTAAGACTTAAAAAAAGGCCAATGTTTGGGTTTTCCAAAAAGGGAAAAGGGGAATTCTGTGAACTATATAGGCCAGTAAACTTTACTTCAATTTCTGGCAAAATTCTAGAACCTATTATTATTGTGGGAATGGTTAATAAAAAAAAAACTAAAAAGGGAGAAACAATCACAAAGAGCCAGCATGGCTTAATCAGGAAAAGGTCGTGATGCTGGACTAGTTTCAGTTTCCTTTTTGGCAGGGTTACTAGATTGCTCCATCAGGGTATTACAAAAAGGCACCAAAGTCTCATGCTTTTCTTGTGGAAAAATGAGAAGATGGGCACTAGATGGCAATACAGGTAGGTGGACTCAGAGCCAGCTGACTAGCTAGTTCTAAAGAGCAGTCATCAATAACATGAGATCAGCATATAGAAATGTCTCTAGCGGAACGCTCCAAGGATTTCTCCTTGGCCGTGTGCTGTTTAATATTTTTCAACAATAACTTAGAAGAGGGAGTAGATGGTATACCTATCAAATTTGCAGATAACAAAGCTAGGACAGGGTAACTAAATATTGGATGACACAGTCAGGATCCAAAAAGATCTCCAAATCCTGGAATACTGGTCCAAATCTAATAAGATGAAATTTATGAAAGATAAAGGTAAAAGCTTATACTTGGGCTCAGTAAGTCATTGTCAAGATACAAAATGGGGAAAGGGGGCATGCTTAGATAGCAGTTCATTTACAAAATATCTCCAGGTTTTAGTGTTTTAATATCTCAATATGAGCCAACGGTTTGATATAGCAGACAAAAACATTAATGGCTATATTTAGGCTTCACTGAGTATCACTGTGCTCAGCGGCCAAATAAGATAATATTTGTAAAATGCTTAGCACGGTGCCTGGCACATAGAAAACACTATATAAATGTGAGCTCTTTCTATCATTGTTATTACTATTACTATTACTATTACCCAGGATTGGAGAAGTAACAGTTTTGCTATGCTTTGTCTGGGTGAGACTACTTTGGAGACTATGTATTGGGAAAGATACTGATAAACTGGGAACCATCCTCCCTCCCACAAAAAAGGCAACCAGGATGGTGAGGGATCCCAAGCTCCGTGAGGATAAGCTGAAGGAATATTCCATCTTTCCCATATCTTTCAGTCCTAAGTATTACAGGCTGGCACTTCCTCTGAACCCAACAGCAGAATGTGGGCAGACCAGGCTGGGACTAGACAAATCCTCATAAAGCAACCTTGATTTCTTAGAACTAATCATGATGAACAGACAGTATTTTCACTGATGAGCACAAAGGTTTTTATTCCCTTACCTCAGTTGGCAGATTCACATTCCTGAGCCACGAGATCAGGTCATTCACCACATTGGGCTGGATGCTATCTTCCATCTCGTCCCCAATCTGAGCAAGCTTTATTGCTATGTTCCGGATAATCTCCTCTTGGCCTTCTGAATCTGATTTCACAAATAGCCAAATAGGAAAGAGCCAAATTAGAGAGATTAGACAGGCTTTATTTGCTGGTCACCCACAGAAAGCTTTCCCTCTTTGTAACAGACCAGACTCCCTATTTCAGCTCTTATTCATACAATGTAGTGAACCACTACACAAAGGATAAAGGGAGGTTACTGGGGAGGGGGTTGGGATTGGTATGGAGTTAATTAACAATATAGGAGACCAAGGGAACGGTACTAGGTCTAGTAAAATGACCTGAATGTGAGGAAAGTTCAAGAGAAGAAACTGACTAGTGGGGTGAACCTCTCCCTGAATTTGGGCAATATTAGACGATTAACATCTTCATGTGGGGAAAGCAGAAGAGGAGATCTGAGCATTCTTAATACCTGGGGCCAGGTGGGATACAGACTTCTCATTCTGAGTACTTATGCAGGCTAAGTACAGCTACTACTGTAGCTGCTTTTGGTTGTATATGTATTTTTCTTTTTCTTTTTTTGCTTAAGGCAATTGGGGTTAAGTGACTTGCCCAGGGTCACACAGCTAGTAAGTGTCGAGTGTTTGGTCTGAGGCCGCATTGGAACTCAGGTCCTCCTGACTTTAGGATTGGTGCTCTATCCACTGTGCCACCTAGCTACCCCTGTATATGTATTTTTCTTTCCCATAGAGACTATTCCACCACCATCACCCCTTCCTTGGCATGACAGGTGCTTACTTCACAAGCATTTCTGGCTCTCCTCCGAGTCAGAGCAGTTTCCTATATGGCCAACCAGATCAGAACACAGGATCGGCAAAGACAGGCAACACTAACTCCACCAAGTACTTTCCAACTACTCTCTGGGCCAAGTTTGACTTTAGAAATCAGAACTGTGGCGGAGGTAAGTGCCTAGCTTAGTGTGCAGCAAAGTAGGAAGAAGAGAAAAAAAACTCAAGAATCCTGAATGGGGAACAGACCTAGCTAATGAGGAAAGAGAATCTTGTAAGGAGAACAATGGTGTTTTCCTGTTTTTAAACAGTAAGTGAAACCCAATATCCAAGCCCTTTCTGAATAGAAGAGCCAGGGTTTCCTGGTCCCTGACTGAGAACAACTATCTCCCTTTAGAGAAGCAGGTAGAACAGAGTCATTGATTATGTCCTGGCTCTTTCCAACATGAAGTGCCAATAAGCTTCGGGATATGAGACCTCCTAATATACACTAGAGAAGTGCAGCCTCGCACTCTGAATTAGAGTGAAGTTAGGGACTCAGCTGTTTTAGAACCCCTATGTTCGTACAGCGACAGGTTAGTGAAGGGAGAGCCGTTCATCTGATCCAGAGACACCCAGCTGACACAGCTCATAATGCTAATGTACTTTGCTCACGATAACACTATGAAACAGGTAGTGGAGGAATTATTATTCCAACTTTTTGCAGATGAGCCCCCTGAAGTGCACAAAATTTAACTGACCTAACCAATTAATTCAGTCTCATGTCTAGCAAGTAATATGATCTTTACTAGAACTAGAATTCTCCTATGACCTTCTGACACTAGTCAGCCTTCCTTGTCACTAACCATGCTGACATAAAACCCACGGACCAAGGCAGCTTCTGGAACCAGATGGGACATCCTGAGATTGTTCTGGAGCATCTGGCCTCGCTCACATGATGGCCTGAGCCTAGATGATGACTCGATCTCCAACCTGGCCCATCATGTGTTCAGTTGGTAGGGTGCTGTGCTTGGCAATGTCAAATATATGATTATTTGTCAAAAATGATAAATAATCCACTCCTGAGAACATTCTGAGGAAGAAGTGAATATGAGACGGGCTCTATACGATTTTAAGACCTAGAGACAAAAATTGTAAATGTAATGTTTGAAACGGAAAAAAAATTATGATGGATAAGAAGCGCTATCTCTCCAAGATGAAAAGTCTCTCCAAGAATCTAATCTATTTCAGTATCCTGTCTCTGGTCACTGGGCTTATGGGAATGGGAAGCTCAGAAGCATCAAAGGCAAAAGCTTGGGAAGTGAAATCTCAGGGTAAGAAGAGAATATTGATTTTTTTTTGGGGGGGAGGCAATTGTGGTTAAGTGACTCACCTAGAGTCACACAGTTAGTAAGTGTCCAAGGCACGATTTCAACTCCAGTCCTCCTGACTCCAGGGCTAGTTGCTCTATCCACTGTGCCACCTAGTTACCTCTTTGGGTTTTTTTCTTGTGGTTTTTTTCTTTTTTAAAGTAGAGAAAACTTGGGAACCATTGGCTTTTTGTGTTCAGTCATTTTTCAGTCATGTCCAACTCTTTGTGACCCCATTTGGGGTTTTCTTGGCAAAGATACTGGAATGATTTGCCATTTCCTTCTCCAGCTCATTTTACAGATGAGAAAACTGAGGCAAACAAGGTTAAGTGACCTGCCCAGGGTCACACAGATAGTAAGTATCTGAGGATGGATTTGAACTCAGGTCTTCCTGACTCCAGGCCAGGTGCTCTATCCACTGTACCATCTAGTTGCCCCATTTATTAGATACAACTATGTAATTATTCCATAAGTATTTGGTTAAGTACCTACTGTGCCATGCACTGTGCTAGACATATAAATACAAAGCATGAAACAAGCTCTACTCCCAAACAGCTTATATACAATCCTATGTAAGTCTGTTAGCCAACCTTGGATTCTTTCCTCATCTGCAAAAAAAGAATACTATCTGTCATCTTTTTCAATCAGAGTTCTTGTGGGATCAAAGGAGAAAATGTACGTGAAAGTGTCATACACATGTGAGGCAGTGGTTTTGTAAAACATACAACCAGGAACTCTCCACCATTCGCTGACTAGCCTGGAAAAAGGAGACAGGACAAGAGGCCTACCTAACTCCCCTTCTTCGCGCATCTGAAAATAGCACCGATTGCCATCTGTCTGCAGCTCATAGTCGTCCTCCAAACGACCGCCCTGTAAGACCACCCTGGTCAGCTCGTTGCCCAGCTCCTTCAGCTCTGTCTGGAAAACGTCGTTACTGGAACACTGTAGGAAGTTGTACAGCAGCAAGCTGGTCTGTCGATTGTCCTTGGAGCAACAAAGAAACCAGTTAGCAACTGGTCTGGTCCTGGAACACCCTTTAGGTAGTAAGTTACCATTGCCTAACTGCAGAGGAGAAAATGCTGCATGATTAACCTTTAAAAGCACTTGTCCAGGGCAGCTAGGTGGCACAGTGGATAGAGCACCGGCCCTGAAGTCAGGAGGACCTGAGTTCAAATCTGGCCTCAGACCAAACACTTGTCACTTACTAGCTGTGTGACCCTGGGCAAGTCACTTAACCCCAATTACCTTTAAAAAAAAAGCATTTGCTCGATTGACCAAAAGGTCTCAAATGCTCTTTCAGTATCAGTTTTAAGCAAAAGCACACTAAGAGTTTGGGGACAAACTGTAAGAATCTCAGCCAGGATGGCTCGGGTCTTGGTGTGCTTGCTCAATACATACAACAAAACGACTTGGGTGTCAAAGGTTTTTTAGGTCTCAGCTTGTACAACCTCTAGACAGCAGAGCTTACTACATTATCGTTGCCTAAGTCAATCTTGTGGACTCATCTCTGTAACTCCCAGCACCTCCTCATGTCCTGCCTACGGCAAAATATCAACAACATACCTTCCCCCTCCTTCTAACTTACCCAGCTCTGTTAACGGAACCAGGGTCACAGAAGTTTTTAATCTCAGAGTCATCTTGGATCTTTCCTTCTCCTCCACCTTGCACGTCAAATCAGCTGCCAAGCCCATAATCTCTCATATGTGTTCCCTTTTTCACACTCATTCTTCAACTACCTTAATTCACACCCCCATTTCTTGTTGCAAAGACTAGTGGTCTCCAAACTTTTTGACCATGACCCTCATCAATAAGAAATTGTTGAACATGTACCCATAATACATGTATATTTGCTTATTTGCAAATTAAATGTATGTATTAGTATATTAATAACTGTGTAAATTACAAAACTCATACAAAAACAAAATTTTTTTTTAGGCAGTTGGGGTTAAGTGACTTGCCCAGGGTCACACAGCTAGTAAGTGTCAAGTGTTTGGTCTGAGGCTGGATTTGAACTTTGGTCCTCCTGACTTCAGGGCTGGTGCTCTATCCACTGTACCACCTAGCTGCCCCCAAAACACAAAAATTTTAAAGGATCGGATAAAGATAAAATAATATTTGATCCTAGAATCAATAGGGAACTATGGCAGTTTTTTTGAGGAGGGAAGTGATGAAACCTATACTTCCAGAAAATCACTTTGGCAGCTGAATGGAAGGTAGATTGGCGTGGGGAGAGACAAGTCATGTAGGGCAATAAGGAGGCTATTGTAATAGTCTAGGCAAGAAGGTGATGAGGGTAGACAGAACTGATTGTACGAGTATAGAGAAGGAGACATACATCAGAAATGTTGTAAAAGGAAAATGATGATATGGTGAATTAGAAGGATGAGAGTACCTTCTATAGCAATAGGGAAGTTGAGAAGAGAGGATGGTTGGGGCAGGGGGTGCAGGGGAAGATGAGTTCTGATGTAGACATATTGAGTTTGAGATGCTTATGAAATCCAGTTTTAGATGTCCAAAATCCTGTTGTGATACAGGACTAGGCTCAGTAGAGAAACTGGGCTGGATAAATAGATCTGGGAATTGTGTGTTACAGAGATGATAACTGAACTAATGCGAACTGATGAGATCATCACATCAAATGAGATAGTACAGAGAGAAGAGAAGAGGGTCCAGCATGGAGCCACAGGGAACATGCACAGGTGGAGACATGATGTGGATGATGATAGAACAAAGGAATTAAGCGGTCAGACAGGAAAACTCAAAGAGCAATGTCACAATAATACAGAGAACAGAGAATCCAGAAGGGGATCAACATTTTCAATTGCTATAGAAAGGTCAAGAAAAATGAAGATTGAGAAAAGGGCATCAGATGTGGTAATTAAAAGATTATTGGAAATTTTGAAGAAAACCACTTTAAATGACTAAGGTATCAGGAATAAGGAGGAGGTCAAGTACCTATGAAACTGGGAGAATGATGGTTTCCTCCATGGAAACAGGTGAGTTCAGAAAACGGTTAGTTTTTTGTTTTTTTTTTTGGTAAAGATAATGTAATCACAACCCTCATTCACCCTTTCCCACTGAAAAATGAAAAATGTGTTAGAGGCCACCACCAGAGAACACCAAGCCTGTTTGGTGACAGGATGTGACGTCATTGAAGGGTAGAAGTGAGGGTAGTGGAAATTGGCCTGTGTAGCTTTTAATGAAGCCCAAACCAAATTAAGTTGGAAAGGGGAAGAGTTTGGGGAGTGTTGAAAGGGATAATATTGAGTTGGAAACTAGGCAGGGAGGTGGAAAGGAGTATGACTGTCTTCTCACCTTCTGACTAATCACCTCTCCCTTCGGGTCAAAACCCTGCTGCAAAGTGATCTAGACTACTGTAATGGCCCCCCTAACTGATCTTCCTGCCTTCACTCTGATCCCCTCTCCAATTCATCCTTCATGCCTGAGTAACAGTACTCTAATAATATTACTTTTCTACCCCAAAACCCTGCGGTTCCCCATTTACTTGTATCAATCAATCAACTATAAAGTATTTATTAAATGCTTACTATGTTCCAGGCACTATGCTAAGTGATGGGGATACAAAGGCAAGAGAGGCAACATGCAAAAAAGGGAAAGAAATAAGCATTTTTATATAGTGCCTACATGTGCCAGTCACTGTGCAAAAATAGTAATGACCACTTTCCTTCTCTTTAACTACTTCCTCCTTCTTTATAAAGAAGAGGCAGGGGCATAAAAAGAGGATGAAAGAGAATACGATGGAAGGAAATTATAACAACATACTGTTGTATAATTAACAATTATAATTGTGACTGATTTCCTTCCTAATCCTAAATGCACTAATTGTGTTTGTTCAAAAACTTTATAATTTTATGTAATCAAAAGCATTTGTGGTATCTTATGATTACCTTTATGCCTTGTTTGTTCAAGAACTCAACTGCTCGTGTATTTTTATTTCTGTTTTTGTATCTCCCTGAGGGAAAGAGGAACATTTCAACAATCTTGCCTATCTCTGGCTGGACAGGCTGGCTCTGCTTTTGTCTCTTCTGCTACTTCTCTGTTACTGTTCTGGTCTACATCTTGCCTCTGACACAACCCTTGGCTTTTGGGTGCTAACTCTGACTCACTCGCTGACCTTTTCTCCTTTCACAACAATGGGAGTTGGCTCATCCCCTGAGAGACCCTACTGGATGTCAGAGAAAGTACTGTTCTACTTCTACTTGACTCTACCCCTTCCTAGGCACTATGCATCTCCCATCTTGGGCAGTCATCCTGTAGCAGCTGGCCTCGTCCCCTAAGGTAGCTCAGAGAGGAGCACTGGGTGCACCTCTTGGAGACCCCCGGGGCATGGGGGCACTGCTAGGCACTGTCTTTCTTCTCAGCGATGAGGGTAGAATGGCTCTGCTCCTTGCTCCACCAGGCCAGGGCTGAGGTCTCAACAGCTTCAGGCCCCTTTTACCTGTCTGGCTTTTTGGTTCCCCCTAGTGTCATCCCCACTTAGAAGACCTGCAGGCTTCTAGTCCTATTCTTGTCCAGTCCTACTTGGAGCAGAAGAGGCTTGCCTACTGTGTTTCCCTTTGATCTTAGTTATCGCTGCTTCATCTGATGCTATCTCTGCAGATTTCATGCCCTATTCTTTACATTTTAATTCTTTACTTCTGTGTCCCTTGAAGATAATGAGATACTTAAAGGAGATCTGTTTCCACTATTAGATATTTTTAAAAAATTAAACTTTATTTTTTAATGAACAATAATCTATTTTTATCCCTCCTACCCTCTTTTCCCCATGCAAAAGAAAAACAAAATGCTTATTATAATAAATATGCATAGTTAAGCAAAACCACTGTCACTGGACTGAAGAATATGGGGAGGGGGGTTTAAGGTATAAGAAAACTAGAAAGTGGGGGGGGCTAGGTTATAAAAGACTTTGAAGATTTTGTATTTAATCCTCGAGGTAATAGTAAGCTGTTGGAATTTATTGAGGAGGGGGGGGTAACATGGTAGGAATTGCATCTTAAGAAAATAACTGGGGCACCTGAGTGGAGGATGTGCTACAGTGGGAGAAACTCGTGGTAGGAAAACCAACCGGCAGGCCATAGCGAAAGTCCAGGTATATGGAGATGAGGGCCTGTAACTAGGCTGATGGCAGTCAGAGAAGAGAGTTTGACAGGCCTTGAAAATAGATTGGATATAGGGGGTGGAGAGATAGTAAGGAACTGAGAGCCTGGGGACTGGAAAGACAGCAGTACTAAGGAAGTTTGGAAGTGAGGATTTTTAGGGGGGAAAGATAATGAGTTTAGTTTTAGACACTTTGAGTCCAAGTTAGGTGGTGTGGTGGATAGAGTGCTGGGCCTGGAGTTAGGAAGACCTGAGTTCAAATCTGGCCTCAGAACATTTACTAGCTGTGTGACCTTGGGCACTTAACCTATGTTTGCCTTGGCTTTCTCATCTGTAAAATGGGGTCATAATATCTCCCAAGGTTGTTGGGAGGATCAAACGAGATAATAATTTTAAAGTGTTTAGCACAGTGCCAGGTACATAGCAAGCACTATATAAATGTTAACTACTATTGTTAGATATCTCAGTCTGAGATATCTAATAAACAAGGGGTGGGGCAGCTAGGTGGCACAGTGAATAGAGCTCTGGCCTTGGAGTCAGAAGGACCTGAGTTCAAATCCAGCCTCAGACACTTAACACGTACTAGCTGTGTGACCCTGGGCAAGTCACTTAACCCCAATTGCCTCATCCAAAAAAAAAGTAAAAAAAATAAAAAAATAAACAAAGGGAGATGTGAAACTGGAGGTCATCAAAGAGGCTAGGGCTAGATAAGCAGATATTGGAATCATCAACATAGAGATGACAACTGAATTCAAAAGGAGCTGATGTAATCACCAAGTAAAACAGGAGAGAGAAGAGAAAAGGGCCCAGGACAGCCCTGGGACCCCCACAGTAAGCTGGCTCGACCTGGATGAAGATACAACAAAGGAGACTGGGAAAGACCAGTCAGATAAGCAGGAGGAGGACAAGATACAGTAATTTTTTTTTTTTTGGTTAGGCACTAGGGTTAAGTGACTTGCCCACGGTCACACAGCTAGTAAGTGTTATATGTCTGAGTCCGGATTTGAACTCGGGTCCTCCTGAATCCAGGGCCGATGCTCTATCCACTGTGCCACCTAGCTGCCCCCTAGGAGACAGTAGTTTCCCCAAAACCTAGAGAGAAGAGGGTGATCAACCTTTGTCAAAGGCTGCAGGGAGGTCAGGACGGATGAGGACTGAGAACAGGCCATTGGGTTTGGCAATTGAGATGGGCACCTTTGGAGAGAGCAGGATAGGAAACCAAACTGTTCAGACTTAAGAAGTGCATGAGAGGAGAGGAAGTTGAGACTCATATTGTGGCCAGCCTTCTCAAGAAGTTTAGCCGCAACATGCAGGAGAGCTACGAAACAAAAATGAACGGAGATAGATTGAATGAAGGTGTTCCGAGGACAGGGCAGACGTGGGCATGTTTTTAGGCAGCAGGAAAGCAGCCAGTGGACAGGGAGCAACCACGGACAAGTGAGAGGGCGGGGATGAAAGGGGGGACAACATGCTGGAGAGATGGAATGGGATCACATGTGCATGTGGAGGGGCTGGCTTTGACAAGGAGAAGGGCCATCTCTTCTTGTGAGCCAGGGGAGAAGGCATTGAGTGACGTGAGGTGAAGAGGAGGGGAGAAAAGGAAGCCAGAAGTGAATGGTCTCGACTTTTGTTTTTTTCAGTAATATAAGAGACAAGGGTTCGTAGCTGAGACAGGAGGGAGATGACATCATCAGATATCTGAGGAGGGACGAAAAGGACTGGAAGAGCCGCTGTGGTGAATGGGATAGTGTGTTAAAAAATTAGGGAGATTTCTGAGCAGCAGTGAGGGCCCAGGGGAGATTGTGTAATACAAATATCCATACTATAATGGAATTACTGTCCAGTCATTTCCAGAATTATGTCACTTTATATTTTGCTTTTTGACCTTTCTGACCCTTTCCAGTCTTCTTAAACTTTATTTTCTGCTGTGTATTCTACTCACCACAACACAATGCTCCAATCTCTTTCAGATCATGGAGAATTTTTGGTAGATATAAGCCCTCTTATGAATGACAATGAGCTTGGAGGAGGTGAAGCTGTGACTAATTTTAGATTTTTACACAGTTGATGAATTTTCTCAGATAAAAGGAATCTTAGAGTCAGCTCACTCCAGACTCTTATTTTATGAGGCCTCTTGGGCCTTAAGAGATGAAAAGATCTGCCCTACACAAAATAAGTGGCCAAGGGGAAATAAAAACCCTGATCATTAGTGATCTTTCTAGTACACTAAGTTGTTTCTTTCTTTTTTTTTCTTTTTGGAGGCAGTTGAGGTTAAGTGACTTGCCCAGGGTCACACAGTTAGTACGTGTCTGAGACCAGATTTGAACTCAGGTCCTCCTGACTCCCAGGCCAGTGCTCTATCCACTGTGCCACCTAGCTGCCCTAGTTGTTTTTATATAGATATCTTCTCAATATGTACTCAATTGGAAACACTCTTAAGTTTTCTGTACTTGTTCAGTTGTGTCCTACTCTTTTTTTTTTTAAAGGCAATTGGGGTTAAGTGACTTGCCCAGGGTCACACAGCTGGTAAGTGTCAAGTGTTTGGTCTGAGGCCAGCGTTTCCGACTCTTTGTAACCCCATCTGGGGTCTTCTTAGCAAAGATATTGGAATGGTTTGCTGTTTCCTTCTCCAGCTCATTTTACAGATGAGGAAACTGAGGCAAAAAGGATTAAGTGACTTCCCCAGGGTTACACAGCTAATAAGTGTTCAGACTGAATTTGAACTCAGGTCCACCTGACTCCAGGTCTGGCTCTCTATCCACTGCATCGCCCTCCCAGCTGTTCTACTTCACAATAAGTGCTCCTTTATTATTAATTTCCCATCCCACCTCACCCCATTAACAGCTCTGTAAACGTGGATCATGAATTTACCAACTTTTTAAAAACCACCTAAAAGCTTCCTGATATACTTGGGAAGAAAAATAAATATTTAAATTTCATCTTATTTTCTAAGTACCCCCAAAGAGCTCTTTCCACTGGCAAAGTTATTTTTCCAAGGTCATTTTCCTTGACAGTGAAATATGTATCCCCTGGGAGGATCATGGGCTTTCCTAAGTCAGTGCTTGGGCCTTTGGCTCACTAGTGAACTACATAAAATAGGAAGCAATCTCTGCCTTGTCTTTTCCTCTCTGAGTGGCTTCTTTCTTTCCCTTTTTCACTCATCAAACTCCTACATTAGCATCCAACTTGGGAGGACTTGGCTCTAACCTGATCCATTGCAGAGTCACTTCCGGACAACAGTGCCTCAGTGGAACCTCAGTGTGGCCTCCTGGATGTCAGGATAGCAGCCTGAAAGAGAAAAATGAAAATACAGGAGTAGGTAGAGAGTACAAGGACATGCTTTCATCCATTAGTAAGCAGATTCACTCACTTGCACCATCAAGGGGGGCTTATCTGAACATACCAGCATAATTTCCTACTCCTTTCTTCCCTTCCTTCCCTTCTCTCTCTTTCTTGAGCTACAAATGCATAATAATAAAATTCACACCAAATTTAGTTGTTTTCCCCATACTCTATGTGGATATGATCTTGAATTTCCCTAGTGTTATTCCCCTAGTCTTACTATTTATCAGTCAAATTTTCATTATAGATTATTAAAAAAAACCCACCAAAAACCTAAATAATTCAGATGGGGAGGGGGGAGAGCAATTTGGATTACTATAGGGTTTTTTTTTATTTGTTTGCTTGTTTTTGCTAGGCAATGGGGTTAAGTGACTTGCCCAGGGTCACACAGCTAGTAAATGTCAAATGTCTGAGGCTGCATTTGAACTCAGGTCCTCCTGACTCCATGCTGGTGCTCTATCCACTGTGCCACCTAGCTGCCCTGGATTCCTATAGTTTTGAATTATATATAGGATGCTTATAAAGAAATGTAGTTTTATTACTTTAGAACACCAATAGTAAATGAGACTGGATTAATAAAAGTATTACTCAGGAGAACTTTTTCTTCTTCTTACTACATTTATATTATACATCATTATATAAATATAACATTTTATATGGTTTTAGTGCTTTGCACAATTTTCAATTCACTTTCATATTTATTGCCGCATTTGATTCTCAGAACAATCCTGTGAAATAAGCATTGAAGATAATTTCTCAGATTAATAACAGTAATAATAACAGCTAGCATTTATATAGCACCTACTATATGCTACATGCTATATACTTTACAAACATTTTGTTATTTGATCCTCATAACAACCCTGGGAGACAGTGTTATTATCCCCATTTTAAAGATGGGGAAACTGAGGCAAGACAGAGATTAAGTAATTTGGCCAAACTCACGGGGCAGCTAGGTGGCACAGTGGATATAGCACCGGCCCTGGAGTCAGGAGGACCTGAGTTCAAATTCGGCCTCAGATACTTCACACTCCCGTGTGTGACCGTAGGCAAGTCACTTAACCCCAACTACCTCACCAAAAAAGAAAAGAAAAGAAAAGAAAAAAAAAACCAACTCTGTTGCAAGGGAGGGATGGCTGCCTAAGGAAAGGAGGATGTATTTGGAAATGAGATGAGATAAAAACCAAAGATATTAATTTTTTAAAAAATGTTTAAAAAGAAAAATACAGGGAGAGACAGTCTCTAGAAGTAAAGGTTCCAGTAGGGTCAAATGCTGCAGTGAGGTCGTTAAGGGCCTCATGGGAGACTAAGAAAATGCCAGTAGTTTTCACAATTAAGAGGTCACTGATAAAACTGGAAAGTATTGAGGCCAGAAACAAGACAGAAAAGTGACTGAGAATCAGTTGGAGAATGGCTGAACAAGTTGTGATATAGGATTGTGATGAAATGCTACCGTGCTGTAAGAAATAATGAGCTCAATGATTTTAGAAAAACATGGAAAGACTTGCATGAACTAATGAGCAAACTGAGCAGAAGCAAGAGAACACTGTATACAGGAACAGCAATATTGTTTTAAGAATGACTTTGAGCAAATAAGTTATTTTGTCTATTATAAATACCCAAATTAACTATAAAGGACATAAAAAGAAAGACACTATCTATATCCAGAGAAAGAATTGATAAACAGAAGTATATCTAGAATAGTTTTACATATAGATACCTATTTGTGTCTCATGGTAGCCATCTCTAGGGCAGGGGAAATGGGAAGAAAAAAAAGAAATTCACATGATAATTTTGTTGTACATTTGAAAGCAATAGCAAGTTCAGCATAGTAGACTTGCATTTTCATGTACAATCATCTTTCTTCATTGCACTAAGGTATGGAAATGCTTATTTTATTCCATAAATTAAAAATACAATTTTTTAAAAACCAACTGGGAAGAAAGGAAATTGAGATAGTTAGTTGGCATGGTAAATAGTGTGTTGGGCCTAGACTCAAGAAGGTTCTTATTCAGATCCCACCTTAGACACTTAATTGTGTGATCTTGGGCAAGTCACTTAGCTTTGTCTGCTGATAAGATAATAGCACCTACTTCCCAGGGTTGCTGTGAAAATCAAATAACAAAATATTTGTAAAGTGCCAACCAGAGTGCCTGGCACATAGTAGGAGCTAAATAAATGCTAACTATAATTATTACTAATTGTAATAATGAGTGAGTCTAGGTGGCTTTTTCTAGGAGTGTGCCTGTGAAAGGGAGATGCAGTATCAATATAAGGAATGAGGGCACTGCAAATCAAGTGTCTGGACAGAGGAAATTTAGATATGTGTTTGACTACATGGAAGTAGCCAGGAGGTAAGGCCAATGTGAAGATGAAAGAAAGTTCCTGGAGATGGGAGGGGATGGGATCAAGGCCACACAAATAGAGGTGTTGTCCTTGGCAAGAAAGACCTTCTTCAAAGACCAGATCAAAAGAGAAAAGATTGGTAATATAATATTGAGGGGGTTTTGAGGTATAGAATTAGTGAGAAGCGGTAGCTCATGATTGGGAGGGAGACAGAAGAAAGAAGAAAGGTCTTTGGTTGAGAAAAGGAGAATCAAGCCTTGAGCAGAGGGGAGGAAGACTGGAACAGCTGCTATTTGGAAAGTGGTAAAAAGTCAAAAGAGGCAAGCTAGTCTGGAAGTTAGGAAGATTTGGGTTCGAGTTCTATCTCTTGACACATAATGAGTGGGGGACCCTGAATAAGTCACTTAACATTTCAGTATTCTAAATAATTCTAAAGTTGTAAAACAGGTGCCATGTGCATCAGTAGAGGGAGTTCCTCAGAATAGGTGACTACTTGCACTGATGAAATCATATGTCTAATTTTTTAGAAAGTCAATTAGAGGAGAATAAAAGAATTGTCATGCACCAAGAAGGCCTAGTTGACCTTAGATGACATAGATTTATATTGGATGATGGGGATACACCATGGTTGGCATTTGGCAAGGTCCAAGTAGTCCAAGAAGTACACTGGGGAAGAAATTTAAAAGTTCAGCAAACGTACTAACTATAAGGTCAAGATTACAATAGGAAGTGAAGCTAAAGTAGGGGTGATGGACTGGTTGAAGAGGGAGGCACAAACGACTACACATTTTGGTAAGGGTGAAAAATAGTTTTAGGAAAAGTAATGCACAAGAAAAGAAGGAAGGATCAGAGCCTGTAGTCAAATAGACAAATTTTCAGAGTTCTAGATCTTGGACCAAGAACATATATATAGCTGATGGTGAGAACAAGCATATGACCCATCTCTATGAACGAATGGGTCATGGAATGGAATAGAATAAAGCTGCAGATAGATCATGGGAACTGAGGATATTTATGAACCGGGAGACTAGCAAATTTAAGATGATATAAACAAAAGCAACCCAGCCTGTTTCCATCTTCCAATTCTGTTCCAGGCTCAATTCACTGTCTGTCCACAGTGACAACTCAAGATACATGTTTTCATGAAACTCTACGAGCTGTGCATCCAATTGCATATCATGGTCCTGCCATTTTTTATATGCTTGTTTTTTTTCTTTGCCCAAGAGACTAAACTCCTTTGAGTGATTATGGATCTCATTTACAAAGTTTACAGTATTCTAGGGTCCGATGAGATGACCAGGATGTCATATGAAAACAGAAGCATCTGGAACACCTCACAATGAATGGGGAAATACCTCTTTCACATGAACTCTGAACTGGACATTCTCCAGGAGAATGGCAAAACCTATACCAAGCATACATCTTTCAGTATTATTCTTCAGTTGGTATTAATAATTAATAACCAGTTGATAATAAATTGGAATGTAATATTAATGATAAAGTTGACATTAATAAAACATTCATTTTAATATTTAAGTGAAATTGTTACAGTTATTGCATCTTTCAAATAATCTTGTATGTTTTTAATACACATATAGAGAGGTGGCTTAAGTAGCATTTGGCTCAACAGTGGGATCTTGTTTTCTCTATGCTTTTCAGTAAATTATATGTGACTACAAAAATGTGGTATGATGTACCATATCATTTGTGAAAACCTACTTCTTCCCTTTTCACACCTTCCTTCAATTAAGGATGTCCTTAATATATGGGTAGATTATTCTCATAAGGATTTTGTGGAGATGGGAAAGTTGGTATATGAGTTGGTCGTTAATATTTCCTTGATCACTTTTTTTTAATAGTAAATAACATTAGTGATTGTAAATGTGTTCTTTAAACTAGAATTTGTATGTGACCCTCGAATGTATCTTCTATCAAACTTTATTTTTTCTTTTCTATTTTTAAAAATGCACGCAATTGGCTCACATCAACATGACTTTAAAAAAAGAAACTTTTTTTAAGCAGAAAAGAAAATGGAAAGAAAAAAGATTGGATGAATAAAGTATGAATTTTTAATCTGTTTTACTGGGATTCTTTTTAACGATTACAATGAACTTTTTTTCTAATGTACATTGGAGTTTTGCTTCTTAATGTGATTCATTTTAGAGATGAATCCAACAAAAACTGGGTTTTTATTGGAATTCACATCTAAAGAGATTTAGTTACCGAAATGCCAAGAGGACCTTGCCCTTGCTATAAGGCAATTTCATACTATGAACTCCTTGGTACAGCTTCTAGCTGAGATTCCTTTTATAACATTTAATGGTGTTTTAAACATTCATTTTATTATAAATTGGGCTGGGTCAGAAAGTTTCACTACAGCCCCAAGTCTGTATCATCTAACAGTGAAAGGAATAGTCCTTGATTCTGAGCTTTAGCTCTGGCACATGAGATATTTGAAAAAGCAAGTAACAAACTGGAAATCAAGTTATAAATAAGGATATGGAGAATATGCAGGCTATCAAGCAACTAAGTGGACATTACTGTAAATGAATGGGACAAATGAATAGAGGAAGAGAGCATCCTGCAAATTAATCAGAGAA